AACAGATTACAGTTATAAAAATCAATTTATAATCTTAGCAAACTGTTTTACAATCACCTAAACATAACTTGAAAATATAATAGTCAAAAAGAAGTCAAAAATATGATAGATTGATAGTAAAGATTTACAGCAACGTTTGTTAAAAGTAAAGTCGATATTGTCAGTGATTGTTTTATCAGGAAGACTAAAGACCAAAACCACATATATGGGTCAATGTGTAAGTCAGGGACCACTGCATTCTGAAATGTTAATGTCACAAATGAGGCTGAGAAGAAACGCCACCTGGGGCTATAAATATACCAGCTTTTTTTATTGAACCTTTCTTCGAACTAGGTATTTTTCAAAATTATGTGTAAGACTATTTAACTCCACTGTTCCATATTTTGAAAGAAATGTCGTATTTACCCATAATGACTAATGCTACCCACCAGACTGGTCACCTGTTCTACCATTGAAGGACACTTATGTTGACATTTTTGCACAATGTACAAGATTACAGTAATTCTTCTCTTTAGCAGAACAAGTATGATCTCCTAAAGAATGACAAAGGAACAAAGACAACTAGTAGGATATGAGTTAATGGCTTTCTTAACGACATGTTATATGAAACCTGCAAATATACAAAAGAAATGTTACGACAGCGGAAGTCATGTGACGCTAGTAACACGTCATGAGCTTCTAGAAAATTCATGTCCCTTCGTGAAGCCTCGAGTGTTTACTAGATGTGCGGTATTCTTGTCTATAAGACCGCCAAGAAGTGACGGCAACAATGGAATTAAATTGCAGACAGAGATAGAGACGACAATTGAGTCAAGCGCGTGAATCGTTCGTTCGTTGTGAATTATAGAGTTTGTTTAAGTTATAGCGTGACTGTGGAAATTAAGTGTATTGCAAAGTTGTATTGAGAGAGAATAAACTAGTTTTATTTAAGAAAGGACTTGTATCGCTAAAGTTTCTTTGGAAAGCATTTTTACGGAAAATTAACAAACGACTAGAGACGTAACAGAAATGATAAATTCTGAATAAATGCTATAATAATACAAAAAAAGATGAAAACATGTGGTATACTTGTATACCACAAATATTATTGGGTATGAGTGAACATGAGGTTCTTAAAAATGTTGCTTGGCCTAGGTACAGTTTTATGACTCCACTTTTAAAGCATTTGTAGAGCAGATCATTATTGTAATCAAACAGTTGTGATCCTTTTAAACCTATACATGTAGTTGCATTTTTAGCAATTGGAATTTACCTGACTTTACATTTGACATTTACTTTACTTTCGTGATTTAAGCTCGAAAGTACTCAAGCATTTTGGCTTTCTCTTTCTTCAGTCAGCCAGTGGTTATCATGCATGGTTGCCAAGTTCCCGATAAAACATTTTTAAGCTGCATAATGGACCACCCAAAACTTCTTCCACAGAAAAGAGCAGACAATGTCACTGATCCTTAGGTTCCTGGACCTGGCATCGCATATACTGTGACAGAGCCTATGAATGAAGGTGTATTGTTGGCTAACACATCAAACATGGGAGAGCTCGCCATGTTTCTTATCAGGCAAGTTCTGAAGTCTCTAGGGGCTAAGCAGTCCTCATCTGCAGCGGTAGGTCCTCCAGAGTTCAAGCCTCCACTAGACGTAATATTCACAGAGGGAACAGTGTCAACGCCAACCTCATTGATTCTACAAGTGATTCAATTGCTGACAACAACACTCCTGTTGATGCCATTGAAAGCTGAGCCAGTGTCATCAAGAAAGAATTCTGACCCTCTTGTGAGATATCCAATTCGAGGGTGTAACATTTTGAATCATTACCATTGACAGGTGGGCTCACATTTTTGTTGGTTGCATTATATCCTGAAACTCCCCCAAAAATAACTTTTCAGAGCTTCGATCCTTTCGAGGGTCAACTAGTCCCATGAGGATTCTGTCATTTTATTTGTAACTCTGCATTATGCTATATATATCTCAGTATTTGCTTTTCCTTTTCCATATGTATCTACAATTTTCTCAAATTAAATCTTGTCAGCCAGTGTAATATATATATATATTTAATACGACTGACAATGTTTGCATTTGTTTATTGCTTGGACATGCATTATTTCTAATGTGTGTCTGTTTTTTGATTATTTATGATGTATTTCTATGTCCAAAACGTTCATTTTTTGCGTTGTGTTTGAATCTTAGTGTACAATGATTTTTTGTTTGTCAAGGGATTATGTTTCATTTCGATTTTGTTGTATGTTTTATTGCTTTATAGAAAGTGTTATTATGTGTTGTATAGAAACACTAAAATGTGTATTATCACCATGAAAGGATATTTCATTTTATAATGTTACTATATCTTTGACAACGGCTGTTTGTTTTTTCTTCTTCTTTGTATGATATAACCATTGTAATTATTAACATTGTTATCCGTGGTAGCGCTAGTTGTTATGGGTAATTCTGACGTTAGATTGAAACATTGATGCATAGGATCGTAAGTTGGTTGACTTATGGGAAGAAACCAATTGCTCAATCCACAAATCCAGTGAAACGTGACTTACAGCATCCAGAAATCAGGTACAAGCACTGTGTTTTTGTCCTCTACTTTATAAAAATTGATTTCATTTTATATTACACATTATGCCCAGTCTGTTTATTCCTTTACTTTAAAATAAGTTAGTTTTAATTCAATTCAGAAATATCTCATAATATATTCTACCGACCCTTCCGTTAAAAAGCAGAGGAAATCATTTTATCTATAAAGTTGAAAATACCACAATTGTAGCGTTAATGGTATTTTTTAATGTAAATAAATATTATTTTTGTGCATCTTCGTGATTTGATTCTTTCTTTCTGACGAACTCAGTTAGAACTATGAAAGATAAACAGTCACACACTCAATAGCATGGCATCTTTCGAATTTCCAGTTAGCGAACCCAAATTGATTAACTGAATACTCTGGGGGATATCCGCGAAGTGGAATGTACCATAAATTAATAATTAATTAACATATCATTTCATCTCTTCTTTTACGCTCGAATATTTTTTACGTTAATATATATAAATCCTATTCATAGGAATATAT